GTTGCGTAGTTTTTGCCTTTTAGCCCAAATTTGACTGTCAGCGAGGTCTGATTTGTCGAAATTCGGAATCTACGCATACGATTCCCTTAAATGAAACTATTTTTGAAGCTCTACGACTTTTCCTAAGGCCTTTTCCAGCAAAAAAAAAGGTGCGCAAAAAAAGGTCGCATTTGTCCCACCCCCAATTTCCAATTTTTGCAATTTTCGCCAAAAGTCGCCCCAAATGCTGGTATTTTTCCTGAGTGATATTCGATAATTTTTCAAGAAACTAAATCCCAATATCGATTTAAAATTAGATTAAATCTAAATCCGGTTAACTAGACTGACAAAAAAAAGCCATGATTTGAGAAAAACGGATTGATGTTTCACATTTTACTGATTTCCCAACCTGAGGTACTCTCTCGATAACGCTTTCCCGCCGGCCCAATTGTGAGTATTCTCAAGGCAGATAAGTTTCGTCGTTGGTAGATGCGAATCTCCGCCACGAATCGACGCCTCAATCTCTTTCAACGGCAACGTTCCATCGTTCGCAATCTCTACCGTCATTGCACTGACTCCTGGAATTTTTTGGATTGGCTAAAGTACGCCAAAGTGAAAGAAATTCAGTGTTTATTATGAAAAATCTCTGAACTCACCCCCAAATTGAGCATAATTTCCTTGTTCCCATCGATGAATATGCGATTGTTTCCCAACAATAATCTCTTCTCCACGTTGACAATGCGAAAGAACGGCAAGAAGATTGCCCATTGTGCCCGAACAGACAAAAATACCAGCTTCTTTCTTGAAGAGTTTAGCGCATCTAGAATTTTTCGTTAATTTATTTGGATATCTAGACATATCTAGAATATCTAGAATTCAAATAGATTTAAGTTTATCAGCTAAATAATAGCTTATTAGCTATTATTTTCAATGGATAACCTTTCTTCTAAAGCATTGATTGTCGGATCTTCTCCATAAACATCATCACCGACGATTGAATTGGCCATGATCTAGAAATAAATTCTTTTAAAAATCTCAATCATTTTGCATTAATTGGATTTAAACTTAAAAGATTTGAATGAAATTTTTCAAATCTATTAAAAAAATTTAAATCTCTTTCTTTCTTTCTTCTTCCTTTCTTCTTTATTGTGTTTCCTATTTCTTCTTGGGGGAAAGAAGGCATCGATAGCTCAATGGCTTCGTGCCCCTCTTTCTTTTCTTCTCCTAGAGCATCTCTCAATGGTAGAGCATCAAACAGAAAGTTGAGGGTTCAATTCCTATTCAATCCCGTCTTTACCGTTCATTTCTTTACTTTATTATTGCTAACGCTAAATTTCTTACAAGTCTAGCTTCATATTTCGGTGCACAGATCACTTTTACCGGTTTTAATCTAAATTCTAGTACTTTCTCTACTTCCTAGTACTTCCCTAGTACTAGTTCCTTGTAAGTTTAGCTAAAATACTCAAGAAAGGGTTTCTATTTTTGTGCATACTTTTAAAGATAAAATATTGCCGATAGAGATTTAAAAAATTGACTACCTAATTATAAGATTACTACTAATCTCTATTATTGTACTACAAAAAAAGTAATGTACTATTGTACTATTGTACTATTTATTTTATTACAATACCTGTCTCATTTCGGGTGTCGGCCTTGTGACGGTGTCTGATCGAAGATCGATACATTCATCGCAATTCTCCACTTTTGATGAATACGATACAGAAGGCATTGTTGTGTGAAGAAAATAGGCTAAATCTAGATATATATATATATCCTTTTTTTTAATTTATTAACTTTGAACTCGATTAGCAAAAATTTTAGCTGAGAATCGGAGGTGATATTTCGCGAGAATTTTTAGCATTGGAATGCGACTTGAGTTGGAAGTCAATCAAAAAAAAGTTGTAGACTTTATTCAGTAAGATTTGTAGAAAAGCTAAAAGAAAATAGCAAAATATTGAAATTTTTTGATCAAAATTCGGTATGATAACAAGGAAATGGATTGAATCGAGAAAAATTGCTATAATTTTCTTTTCAAGGTCAACTTTGATAAAATGATGTAGAAGGTGTAAAAAATTTATAAAGTTTAATAGATTTTTCGGAATAGAAAATTCTAGAGATCACCTGAGAATTCCCGCTGGGTTCTTGAAATTATACTTGCCAGTTTTTGTCTTTTTTATCAAAAGAAATGCCATTGGCTTCCGATTGATAAGATTGGAAAAAGAAAAGAAAAGAAAGGAAAGGAAAGGAAGGAAAAGAAAAGAAAGAAAAAGAAAAGAAAAGAAAGGAAAGGAAAAGAAAAAGAAAAGAAAAGAAAGGAAAAGAAAAGAAAGGCAAAGAAAAGAAAATTGTTGAAAATAGAGTGTGTTCCTTTCGACTCACGTGTTTTCTAAAATGAACCTATTTGAGAAAACCACCGTAGTCAAACTGCCAATTTACATCCAATCAGCTCAATTTTGGTATCATTTGATGAGGAATTACAAGGTTCAGCCAATGATTTAAAAATTGGATTGATCTGATGAAAACTAACGGTTTGACTACGGTACTTTTCTCAAATAGGTGCATTTTAGAAAACGCATTAGTCGAGAGGAACACACTCTAGTTGGAAATCTATGCTTATCCCCACAAATTTCTTTGACCGTGTTTTCTAAACCGTGCCCTTTTGTATTTTTGTCGTGACATCTAAAGGAGCGTTGTGTAGTCGTTAAATTATCATTTTATTTCTCACAACGTTTTTGCCTAGCTTCTATTCCAGCTAGCAACTATTCCAAGTTTTACTATTTGAATAAACCTAACTGTTATACTATCCTCTATGAATTAAATATCAATTGGATCTATTAAACGAAATCTATTACACAACGGACGCCGCAAAGGGTACAACAAAAAGAAAATAGATTTAGAATGTTTTATTGGGATTTATGAAGAATTTAGTGAAAATGGGGACTTTTTAGGGATATGATAACGGTTTGAGTTGAAAAATTCGCGTTTAACAAGTTGAAAGCTATTTACAATTAGTAAAATGATTGGATTGGAATGATCAAAATTATTGAGAATTTGATTTGAAAATTTTTAAAAGTAAATAAAAGAATATTTTGTAAAGCTACATTGTGTAGAGCTTTTGTTGGTCATACTCATTTTTGTTTGACAAAAAGAATTTCCCTTTAGTCTAAGCCTCTGATCTTGAGAATCCTTTAGTCTAAACCTCTGATATTGAGAATTCTTGTAAAACTTTTTCATCGAAGTTTTTAATTTTCCAGGTAAGAAAAGCTCTTTGATCAATATATAAAAGAAAATTAGAGGCTATAAAGAGGTTGAAAGGTTGACTTTAAGTTGCTCAAATTCCAGCAATAAATAGCTGCTATTTGGGTGACAAAATTGTGTTTATTGTAGTGTTTGGGCAAAGATTCCGATTTCTCATTAATGGGAAGTACAAAAGGTCAATTTTGAAATGATAAGAGATGGCTTTCTCACCTTTTTTCTCATCACAGACATGGATGCTTTGGGTGCAATAAAAAAGGCTGCGGGACACTAAAATCGAATTTTTTAAGGAATTATCACCATTTTTTTTTGAAGATACTGTCAACTTTTAGAATCATTTTTCTCTTATTACAGTATCCAACTGAATATCTTTATAAAGAGAATATCTTTAAAATCTTTAAATATCTTTAAAAAGAGGAAACTATTGTAACTTCAGGCAAAGAAAAGGTTACGGTAGTGATTATTCTGCTTAATTTTAATCCAGCTGAATATCTTTATAAAGATTGAGACATAAAACGAAACTTTAATTGAGAAAACTACCGTAATCTCATTCAATGATTAATTGATCGAAGACTTTTTAGGGAGATAGGGTAACGGCTTGAGTTGAAAAATTCACGAATTGAATGAGATTGAATCAATGAATCAATGAATCAATGAATCAAGAAATCAAGAAATCAATGAATCAAGGAATCAAGGAATCAAGGAATCAAGGAATCAATGAATCAATGAATCAAGGAATCAATGAATCAAGGAATCAAGGAATCAATGAATCAGTGAATCAGTGAATCAATGAATCAATGAATCAAGGAATCAATGAATCAATGAATCAAGGAATCAAGGAATCAAGGAATCAATGAATCAGTGAATCAGTGAATCAATGAATCAATGAATCAAGGAATCAAGGAATCAAGGAATCAATGAATCAGTGAATCAGTGAATCAATGAATCAATGAATCAAGGAATCAAGGAATCAAGGAATCAATGAATCAGTGAATCAATGAATCAATGAATCAAGGAATCAAGGAATCAAGGAATCAATGAATCAGTGAATCAGTGAATCAATGAATCAATGAATCAAGGAATCAAGGAATCAAGGAATCAATGAATCAGTGAATCAATGAATCAATGAATCAATGAATCAATGAATCAAGAAATCATTGAATGAGATTACGGTAGTTTTCTCAATTAAAGTTTCCTTTTATATCTCAATCTTTATAAAGATATTCAGCTGGATTAAAATTAAGCAGAATAATCACTACCGTAACTTTTTCTTTGCCTGAAGAAAAGGTTACAATAGTTTTCTAAATTAGTCACTTTTTCGAAACAGCAAAGAACTCACTCTATTTTAGAACCTTTTCATCTTACTACGGTATTATCGGATTAAGATATGAAGCCTTGAATCACACCGTGCTTTAATAGTTTCTTTATTTTTAAATATTTTATTCAACAACAATGAAAGAGAGATTAGAGTATGAGTAGCTAATTGATGGAAAAGAACAGAAATTTGCATTTATGTGCATTTTAGGAAAGAGTACCAGTGGAAATTGAGACTAATTTGGAGTGTGAAGGCGAAGAGGATACAGGAAAGATGTACATGGCTTAGAAAACATAATCAAAGACTGTAACTTTACTGTAACTTTTGGTGGTCATTTTTGCATTTAAATGTAAAGTTACAAATACCAAAAAGTGTTAGAACATTAGAACAAATATTTGAGGAGCTGCTTGGGTGGTAAGTAAATGAATAGCTATAGGAGAAAAGATATTCAGTTGGTGAAATCAGCAAGACCGGTGACTAGATTACGGTCACGCGCCTCCTCCAAAAGACGACGGTTCTGAAAAAATTTCATAGTAATCTAGATATTTGAATACAGTAAGATTGTGCTAAGTTTTTTAAGTATCAGCTCCCGGAAAGGTATACTGTAATCGGATTTCTTTGAGAATCGGATTTGAGGATTGCAATTGATTGCTAAATTTTTAGGCTCAGAATACGTTATTCAAATTGAAAACTCTAGAATTCGTTTTAGGATCGATTTGTAGCCGCTACAGTACTTTTATTATATCTTTACAGTAAAATTACGCTACAGTAACCCTGCACCCTGCATAAAGCTAAAAACAATGCTGAAAATCAAAAGGCCTACACTCGAAAAAAGACTGAACGAAGTTGGGAATGCTTCTGATTGCGTAATCCAGGGTGTTCTAGAAAAGAAAAACAAAAGAGTTAGTCAACGGTAAAGTAATCTAAATTAGACTAGGATCAAATTTAGATCTGAAAACTATCTTCTTACAGTAACCAGTCACATTTGTTCCCCCACTTACCCTCTCCTTCTGCTCCAGTTCAGCGATCATCCGAGTGCCCTCATTGTTCTCCTCTTGAAGAACCTGTAATTTATTGGTTTTAGATAATTAGATAGATCTATTATCTAATAATAGGTATAGATATAGATATAGATATAGATATCTTTGCCCCACCCCTTTGTCCCATTGGTAATCTAACTTTAAACTCAAATATCTTGGTGTTGGGTTGTCCAATTTATAAATTATTGGTATCACTAGATGCGTCAAGTCTTTCTCTGTCGATTGGTATAAAAACTATTTCAATTGAACAGCCGTACACGAAGGTATTTGAGCTTAAAGCTGGATTGTTAATGACAAAGGACATATCTATATCATTTGAGACATATCTATATCTATATCTATATCTATATCTATTATTTATTATCTATTATCTAATAATCTAATCTTATCCACTTTTTAACCATTTAAACTCACCGTAATGATGACAGCTTTATCCTCGGCGTCCAGTTGAATCTTTGTGATCTGTTCGCGGAGCTTCTTGATCTAAAAAAGAAAATTTTATACCTATCTATTTGCATATATCTAGCTATTAAAGTAACCTCAATTTCCAACGCCTGGATGTAATCGGTTTTGTCGCGTAGGCAAGTGACGAGCGCTTCCTCGTCGATTCCACTCGATCCGACGCGACCTATAGACAAATTTTTTGAGACTTTTGATACAGAAAGCTTGATTCGATTGGGGAAAAATTGACAAAATTATAGACAGACAACACGGGGATTGACGACAAACCTCTATGTCTACGCTGCTTACCACTGAATTGCTCAGCGCGGCTCATTGCGGCGATCATTTCTTCTTTCTCGGCCAATTTTGCGTGCAAATGATCGATGTCGAGTCTGAAATGGGGCTTTGAATGAATTTTGCTCAATCTTGTACTCTTGAAGGGTACTTTACCAGGTATCCGATACAGTACTGACTGTACGCAACTGGTACAGTACCCTTGAAGGATTCTGTGCCAGGTGCGAACCCTTTGCAGTACCCTGGGCACTGTACCAACTCTCTGTTTCACAATTCAAGGGTACTTACGCAAGTGGCTGGTTCTTGAAATATAGTCTGAATTTTTTTGTTTCTTTACTTACTTCAACGCCGTAATCATATCCTCTAGATGTTTTTGAATCACACCCTGATCATTCTGTTGGCTTTTTTGAGCATTGTTGACGTCTTTCTTCAGCGATTCATTTTGTTCCATCAACTGCATTTTCTCGATGGTGCTGGCTTGGAGCTAAATTAGCATTTCAGAATGTTTTACGCTCGTTAGACTCACCTCGACCTTCAGATTTTCTTGTTTTTCTTGGAGGATGGCGTTTTGACGGAGAGCGGCTTCTAGCTAAAAACTAAGCTGTTGATTGGTAGGGTTACGGTAGTTTGCAAAAGATGACACATTTTAGAAAATTAATTGTTCACGCGGCACTCACCTTCATCAGCATTTCCTCCATTTTGCCCTCTGATTCTTCGGTCAGCTGCTTGGTGACCGCTTTTCGAATGCGATGGATCTAAAATAAGGATTATATTCGATATCTAACTCCTATCTGGCTTACAACTAATTTTTGAATTAAATATCACATTTGAACGGACTAATTAGACGGGCTAATTAGATGGACTAATTAGACGGGCTAATTAGACGGACATTTGCGTACAGTTATTCTAAGAATAAGGCTACCAAGGGAGTTTAGAATCGCAAGATGCATCATCAGCTCTAATTTTAATATCAATATCATTATCAACCTCTTCGGTTTTTTCATCGACCGTTTCCATCAAGCGCTTGTTAATCTTTTTTCGGTGCTCAGCTGAAAATTGGGATTTAAAATCGAAAAAATTTCCTGTTTCACCTGAACTTTGAGCTCTTCATTCTCCTCCTTCAACATGGCCACCTCTCCACCAGTGACGGCCATCGTAGACTAAAATTTTTAAGCTTACAACTACCGTAATATCTCTATAGTCTGTCTTGTTACAGTATGCCGAAATTAAAAGTATTTAGATATTTGAATTGGAATGAGTAAATCGTTTTCTAAAAGATTTTGATTTGAAAAGCTACCGCACTCTTCCTATTAGTCTATTCTAATTTTGATTCCAATTCATACACGGTTTTATCCCTCATCAAATGGAATTATAAATAAGTAAACAGAAGACAAGCTGAAAAAAGGATTACGGTTGTTTTCCAAATTATCCACTTTTTAAAAAGCGGGAACTTTTGAGGAGCACTCTCAAGTTAAATTTAAATGTCCAAATTTCAATTGAAACAGATATTCAGTCTTTTTAGCTTAATTATTTTGCTATAAAGTTTATTTTTAGATATTTTACCCCAATCATATGCGATTCGAACATTTTCCCCAAATTGCGCAGCTCGTCCAAAACGGTTTTCGAAGTTGGCATCGAGAAATCCGACATCGATTCTGACATAATTGGGGCTGAAAAAGGTACGATTTGAACCGAAAACGTGTTCGAAATAGGGAAAAAGCAGATAAAACAGGCTTTGAATTTAAGGTTGCATAAGACAAGGCTACGGTGGTTATCGATTTTTGAGACTGTTTAACGCTTTACTATTTCGCAATCTACTATATATAAAAGAGAAGTGTCCGTCCGTCTGTCTGTCCGTCACGCTCTAGATCTCGGCTCTCCGTGAACCGATTTCGACAAACTTTGTTTTATCGATATGGCATTAAAAATGAATAGGTACATCCTTTTGGTTAAAACAAGTTTTTCATGAAAAACCAGTTAAAAAATCAGAAGAACCACTTAGCCACCCCACTTTTTGCGGTCTTTGGGAGGGTGGACGTGACCGAGGTGGTTAGTGTCCCGTCTAGCGAGGCTGGTGATATTATAAATTGTCTGAAAAGGCACCAACTTTCAGGGTCCGCGAGATTTCCGATATCAGATGGAGTTGGAGTGGTTGGGCGCGCATCAGTGGGCTCATTTGGAGTGGACTGGAAAAAAAATCGAAAAGTAAAATTTTAGAGTCATTGTTTATTATAAAGTTACATTTTTGTTACAGTATACCTATTCTCCGTATCTTTTATTGAATCCTTTTGTATTCAGCACTACTCTGACCAATAGCAAGATTACTCTAAGTCACAGTATTTGTAGCTACCTATTTTTCGTATCTGCTACCGTAACCTATTCAGCACTATACTTTGACCGACAAGCAAACCTATTGGACACTAATTGCCCAGTTTGTCAAGAAATTCACTCACCTTCGAGATCACAAACGATTTTTCGGATCCTTCAATCGACATCGTGTTGAGGAAGACGCTTTGTGTGGGCGAAGCGGTCGGCGTTTTCTCGGACTCGAGATCATCGTGGAATGAACGACGAACCGGGTCGGAGCCTGGAAATTTAAATTTTCATAGTTCATAGTTCATAGTAAATTGTCCAGTTTTTAAGCTAGTTTACTCACCAATATCCGGCTCGATCACCTCAAAATCATCGCAAACCGAGACGACATCCGAAAATTCCTGCTGCGATTCGGCGGTTTCTTTTTCGGCCATCTGATAAGGAAATTTTATCTCAAATTCTAGCAGTAAAAGGTACAGTAAAGATATGGTAAAGCTCAGTGGCGGAATTAAAGGATTCAAGCGGGTAAGACTGAAACCTGTGCTTCATCAGAATTTGAAAGCATTCAGTCTTAACGTCCGAATGGTTACTTTATATTAATATTAATTAATATAATAAATATATTAAGTACAATAAATAAATATATTAAGCACAAGATGTAGGATTTACTGTATTTTTAAAAGATACAGAAAATCTTAAATCTTAAATTGACCCAAGTTTGCCCAAGGTATCAATTGTAAGCCACTTGCTAAACTTCTCAATGTGCAAAGGTTTCACAATGGAGAAAAGGTAAAAAAAAGACTTTGCGAAAAACAAAGACTGTGTCAAGAGAGAAAACAATCAATTGCCATTGCGAAACATCAGCTGAGTCAAAGCGTTGAGCAAGGAAAACTGAGACGCGAAAGGGCACAAAATGGTCGGTGTACAGGGGAGAAATGCGGAACTTTTCGCAAAGAGGAGCTGCATTCGAAAGTCCATGAAAACATGATGCTATGAAATCGCCTTTTTCCCATTAGCTTCACAAGTTTTACAAGGATTTTTTAAACTAAAATGAGAGAAATTTTGGTATGAAATATATAGGCTTTTATAATATTCAGCTAATTAATTAAGTATCCAATCTGAGAAATTTGCGAGTATATAATAATTCAAGTAAAAAAATTTCTTTGAAATTCATTTTTTGTAGCTTGCTGGCTAGGTCGCCCCTTATCAAAAGATTACTAACTTTCTTGCCTCTGGCTAAATTTTACCATTTTACCGCCAAATTTCTACTCAATATCCCTTATTCTACATCTGTTGCTTATAAAATTGACCCAAAAACGTTTTGCTACTGGCAAATTTGGATTTCTTATGCTTTTTTTCTTGTTTTATCTTTGCAAAGCCAGTGCTTAACTATTTTTTTCAGAGATGACTACCCTGGACATCTACAGCAAACAAAAGATGAGAGACCAATTCCAAGAGAAGATGGTTTCCCTCAACAAAGGGTTCATCAAAGCTTTGCAGAATTGGGTAGATGGATGCCCGCACTATGATCTCACGCCAACTGTGAAATCATACTTACAACACGTGAAGGGAGCTCGATTCGACTTACTACCACAATGAAGAAAAAGATGAAAGGAAGACGCTAGTGAATCGAGTGATTGCAAAGGCAAAGAGACGAGCAACTGGAGACTCGCCGAGTTCGAACACGTCAAGGAACACCACCATTGTCGCTTCGTCTTCGACGCCGCTCAGTATGAATGCTCCACGCATGCGTCTTTCCGATGTTTCGACAATTGCTCCAAATGATTCAATGCAGGCAACTCCGACTCCGGACATACCTCCTGGTGGCAGCAGAAAACGGGCGATTCGAGGCGGTGGACCTTTGGGTGAACCTGAGTCGGTCGTTTTTCGCGAAGAAAAGACGATGGATTCGAAAGCAACTTTGGATACTTCAAAGCTGATGACCGGAAAACAAAGCTTCCCAAAAGCTGGCGCAGACTTTTGGGACTTTGGGAAGAAAGACAGCGATGGGCCAACGGCGACCACTATTGAGACCAGCCCAGCACAGAAGACCGATTTGATCAAGAGGTTTTCTTTTTACAGGCGATAAAATACCGGAGGAGTCTGTCAAAAGCACGGAAAGCAAGGAGCCGCTGGGCTCGTCCCTCTTTGCCAAGACTCTAACGCCACCAACGAACTCGATCTTCTTGAAAGCGGCTGCAGCAAAAGATGAAAGTTCCCCAAAGGCGGCCTTTCCGAATTTCTTGAAGAAGGATGAGTCTTCCTCAAAGCCGACCTTTCCAAACTTTTCGCAAACACTTGGAACACCCACTTTTGGCGACTCGCAAGAAGGACTCAAGCTCGGTTTTGGAACTTCGGATTCAACAAAGTCGATATTTGGACCGGCTGGAACAAGTGAACTACCGAACATTTTTGGACAAGCTGGCGGCTCGATTCCCACGCTCAACTCCCACGATTCTACTGGTCTAAAAATAACTTTCGGGCCACCATTGACAGCGAATTCACAAGGCGAGGGTCAAGAAGATGGAGAAGAAGGCGAATATGTGCCTCCCAAAGCTGAAGTTGTTGAAGGTGCAGAGCCGGACGCTTTCATCAGTGTCAAATGTTCTGTTCACAAAATGGTGGACAAGCAGTATGAAAAGTTGGGCATTGGAATGCTCCACATGAAAGAGAAAGACGGCAAGAAAAGTGTCCTCGTTCGAGCGGCAACCACTGTGGGCACCATTTGGGTGAATGCCCTAGTCAACAAAACGATGAAGGTCGCAAAAGTGGACGGTAAAAGTTGCGGATCATGTGCCCGACGGGTGACAAAGAGATTGCGATTTACCTGATGCAATTCCCAACCCCAACAGAAGCCGATCGTGTTCGTGAAACTATTGAAAAGGAGTCGGCATAAATTATAATTTTTTATTTCTTTTTCATGTTTTACTGACTTTGATCATGTATTTTTCTTGTTTTTATGGATGTTGTTTGCTAGATAATTTGTAAGCGATAGAGTTTCTATTCCAATAAATTTCAGATGAGCGTTTACCGTCGAGGCCTTGCCGAAATCGGCATTAATAGGACGCCGCTGCCTAATCGAAGCAAACCTGCTACTTTGAAGGTGAGAACTTTGTTTTTCCTAGATTTAAAAATTAATGCTATTTATGAAGTTTTAACAAAATTAATGATATGTATAGTCTACCCTATCATAAAGAGTTGTTGAGTTAACTTTATGAAATGATTGATTGCGTTATTTTAGGCGAATATCAACAGCGAAGAAAAGCTGAAGAATAGCGCCGATTCTACAACACTTTCAACTGTGCCTGAGGTAAGTTATGGTGTAATGTTTTTAATGAATCTAAAACTTGAAAATGTTATTCATTATAGAAGCTTTTTAGATTGACTATTCATCGCGAGTTGATGATGACCATTATTACATGTTGAAGTCGCCTTATCAACTCAAAACTCCGGTCATCCGGAGAATCTACTCCAAAGAAGATGGAATTGCTGCAAGATGAGGAACCAATCGAACATTTTGATGGAGTCGACGATGATGGACGATTTCATCTCGAAGAATTCGCCAGGCCCGCTCCCGTACTTAAGGTTTTGTAATGGTAGTTCAATAATGGGGGAAAGTTTAGAAGGCTACTTTAACTCAATATGTTGGAAACGCTGAGCCCATTGAGCGTTTTGGAGGAACGGATGAAGATGACGGTCGTTTTCATTTTTGATGAACCATTTGGAGATTGTCCAGTTCTTTTGGTAGGCTTTTTTTGTGATTATTTGTTAAGGACTGAGACAGACTGTATCATGTTTTTAGAGTGCCGTTTTTTAAAAATGTTTTAAAAATAGGTCTAACTTTTAAACAAATGATCTTCTATTTTTAGGAGCGTGACTATGGGTTCGACAAGGAGAATCAGTTTGATGTGAGCTTCAGCGATCTTCCCCAAGAAGAAATCGACGCAATGGACAGGCTTCTGGAAAAGCTCACTTTGAACCAGCATGACGCGGAAAATTTTGTTCAGTGTTAGTCAGCTTTGACTATGGGTTGCTTGTCAATCTTGTGCTCTTGTATTTAGTCTTTTAGTTTTATTGTTCGCTTTATCCGACTTGAATCTCATTGATTTATGTGTAACCCATTAACCGGGAAATTGGTCGCTATGTTTCTATGCAGATTGTTCCGATAATTTTTTTTCGATGTTTGTTACTAAATGATGAACCTCAAGTGAATGTCTTTCAGAATAAATATTTTGCCTCAATGCGGTTTGAAAAACTTGATTTGTACGATCATCTGAATACTTTAACATCTTACACTGAAATAAACAAACAAAGGACACTTGTTTAGGATGGACGAGAATTTATCGAAGGCTGACGTGGAAAGGTATAGTCGTCAGCTACTTGTTCACGAATTTGGAGTCAATGGTTTGCTTTAACCAATGTATCTGGTATTTTTTGGCTATTATGATAGGTCAGAAGGAACTGAAAGCGGCACGAGTGTTGGTGGTGGGTGCGGGTGGACTTGGATGCCCGACAGCCATGTACCTAGCAGGAGCTGGTGTTGGAACGCTTGGAATTGCTGATTTTGACAAGGTAAACTTTAAATTGCTGTCGTAAAATTACGGTCAAATTGATCGATTTCATAATCAGCATGATTTAAGGTTTCCAAGGATAATCTCCATCGTCAAGTTGCCCATTCGAGACGCTTGTTGGAAAATTGAAAGTGGATTCATTGAAGCAAAGTATTCTAAGGTAATATTGCTAAAGTTTGTCTGATCAAGTTGCTTTAGTTTAAACAGTAATATCGCCGTGCGAACATTTTCGACGGTGTTGAATGGAGCACAAACGATGGACATAGCCAAGGACTTTGATGTTGTTGCCGATTGTTCAGATAATGCAGCTACAAGGTTTGCATCAAAAATTATTTTGTTCAGACTAAGAATTAAACCAGTTTTACAATTTACCAATATTGAAAAGTAAATCCTTTAGATATATGCTCAATGACGTCTGCGTTTTTCTCAATAAGCCTCTGGTTAGTGGTAGCGCATTACGCTGGGAAGGTCAACTTACTGTCTACAATTACGGAGAGGCGAGTTTGGGATTGCTTTCTTTTACGCATGTTGCAATTAGAGAAATTTAGGATGGTCCATGTTATCGCTGTCTCTTCCCACATCCACCAGCCGCACATTTGGTCACGAACTGCAGTGAAGGAGGGGTAATGGGACCGGTTGTTGGAGTGATCGGATCAATGCAAGCCCTCGAAGTCCTCAAAATTATAGCAAATACTGGAGGTGCGCTAAAATTTCAATGATTCAAACGAGATTTTAGAAACGCTTTCTGGGAAACTTTTTCTCTTTGACGCCCATCGTTTTCGAACAAGGATCATAAATTTACGCCGGAAGCAAAAAGATTGTGCCGTTTGTGGGTTGGTTGGAAAATATTAAACTTCTAACTTTCCTTTAGGGAAGCACCCACAATTCACGCTCCGATCGATTACGAAGTCTTTTGTGGCTCCGGGGTTGTAGATAAGGTGGTGACAAGCTTTTAGTGGTTACTAAATTTGGTTTAGAATCCATCACTCTCGTTGTTGGATCCAAATGAACGCGTCAGCGTGAGCGAGTATTCGACGGCGAGAAAGTCACCGACCATTTTGGTAGACACTCGACCCAAACACGAATTTGCGATTGCATCGCTTCCCGAAGCACGAAGTAGATGTTTTTGCTATGGTTTAGACGTTTTTGAAACAAAACGTTTTCAATTAATCTATTCTTTGTTTTAGATATTCCAATGGATTCGTTAAAGCAACTGGAAGACATAGAACTACGAAAGTTGCTGGGATTGTCTGAAGCGGCTGATGGTAAGTACTTCTTTGTTTTAGCTCAAATACAATCAGTAATTATATTTTAATTAATCTCAAGAATCAAATAAATTCCATTCTAGTTTTCGTGATTTGTCATCGCGGAAACGACTCTCAGTTGGCGGTTCGATTGATACAGGTAAAGCTGTAAATTTTGCATGTAACTTGTTTATTTCTTTAGGAGCGTTTCAAATCAGAGATCGAATCTAACGGATTTCAAGTGAAAGACATCATCGGTGGATACGATAGATGGGCCGAAGAGATTGATCAAGAATTTCCAAGATATTAGCATGTACATTTTATACTTTGCATGTATAGTTTTCTTGATTTCCCAATTGCCACTTTCAAAAATCATAGTTTATTTTTTCTATTTTCTGAGCGCTACGATATTTTCATTTGAAATTTAAATGAGTGAAGATCGTGTTTCGTTTGAATTTCCCGATAGGTTTGTTATGGTTCCAGCTAATTCGGTGTTGTTATAGTCATTTTGTTTATTGCTCAATAAATTTTACGCGTGAACTATCAAAAACAACTCTGACTTTTTCGTTTTTCAAGATCTCGCTATTGAAGACAAACACGAGTGGAACTTTGAAACCATTTATTTAGTCAAATTTTTGTTTAGCGGTCACGTAAAGCCGAAACTTTCGCCATCAGATCTTGACTTATTGGAGGGCAAGCAGAGAGTCGGAAGCTCTCCCGAATCGACTAGAGTAAAGTAAGTTTTGTTGTTGCCCATTGTTTAAAAGACCAGACCGAAGTGTTATAATCGAGAGTAGCACTTATTGTTTTTTGTTTAGTGACCGATCTTTTCGGGTGCGGCGTGATGTGGCAATCCGTTTGTATGCTTCACTTCTGGCGTTGTTCACATTTGGCCTAACAAGGTTCGTTTGTACTTTTGAAAGCTTGTTACTTTAGTTCAGTCATGAAAAAGACATTGAGAGGTTAAACGTAATTATATTTTATTAATCTCTAGTCAATTTAGTCTCGTTCTACATGGCCTTACCGTTGCTTCACGACTCTATCTTCAAGCCATTGCCGGGACATCAATCCTAGGTTAGTTGCTTATGATTATTTGATTATTTTTATAAAAGCACTTTTACCTAAAATAAATATGATCTCGTTTGTTTTAGTGGTTTTGTGGACTATGCTTCGATGGACAAGGCTGCACTCAATGAAACTATCGCGAAAGATTCGACCGATACTTGATATTGCTCAAGTTCTACGTACGAATACGTAGGTTGGTTGATTGATATTTAACAACAAGTTAACATTAACTACGTTTAAAAATTAACAGTGATCTCGAATTTTTATAGCGTTGAATCGAACATAGATTTTTTGAGAAAGTTTTGAGTGAAGCTGACTTTTATCATTTGCAGACTGTTTCGTGGAGATGGATCAACCGTTCTTTGCCCCGAAATTTATCGAGCCTACGATCTCTGCTGCGAAGATCCGACCATCAACGAGTCGATCCCGAGAACTATTGATAGGTTGGTTTTTAGAAGATTATAACTTTAACTTGTTGGTGTTTAGTGACGGTAGCCCGCCAGCATCTCCAACCGGGAGTAGAAAGAAGAAATAGAGAATCAAAATAAAGTTGTTTTTTATTTGCCCTGTTTATATGATTTGAGACAGAGTTGCACAAAATATTTATTTCGAGATCAAGGAGGAGATCGATGAAACCCGGGATTTTTACCCGTAAAAGAAATCAGTGAAAATTAGGGAATCGGTAAAAAGTTTGGCTGAGAACGCTTTTGTGTTATTGCTAGGGTTGACGGGTCTAGTTTGTGAATATCTGGTAGAGAAGAGGTTCTTCGATGCATGCGAGCAGGTCGACGAACTGAGGAATGCAGAGAACCACCGGTGGCTGCCAGCTGAATTGGATATTTTGATTGGATTTGCATGATTTCTAACTCACCGCTTCCGAGCGAGCCTTTTGCCAATTCTGAGAAGCTCTCCGAGAGGCGGTCACCGACATCGGCCAGTACTTTTCCGGAACCTAATTTTTGTGAGTGGGTCACTTTTTCTCATCGATTCGCTCACGTCTTTGCAAATCAATATGTAGAGTTGTTCCATGAAAGCTCTTCTGTAAGTATTTGAGAGGATGAACATCACGTAGTAGTTCTGAGAATAGCAAATTAGTGCGAGAATCACCTGAAATATCGTTTTAAAACGAGAGACTTTAGTTTATCGATTTACTGAATAGCTTTGCAGTAGTTGGGAACGTTTTTGGGATAGGGGAAGATCGCGAACGATGGTGATCCCGATGATATAGGAAAACCAGGGAAAAGAGGTAGACGGCAAGGAGAACTGAGAGACTGCGAAGCACCTGGAATCAAGAGATTTCTTTGATTTGAAGCAATGATGAACTTGAATTCAACGGAAACTCTTGCTCCAGCATCATCGGAACGCTGTGCCAAAAAAAAGAATGTTTCAGGTAAGCTTTTTTTTGAACAATAAAGCAGGTAAGCCGATTTTTGATACAATTTTCGTTACAATAACGATTATCAACTTCCTTTTTCTTTTTAAAACAAACCTTTTTTTCAGTGGTCTTCGCCTTACCACCTCCGCGATTTCGACTCTCATCCGAGTAGGTACGACGGATTCGATCGGCTTGTGTGCCTTAATATTTCAATAAATTCAAAAGTTTAAATATTTAACATACCATTTCTTGCGATTAATATATACAATGCACCGTAGACGATAACGTTTACGCAATTGAGGCTGACATTTGAGGAAAGCCACCAAATTAAGGAGGAACCGGTGAGCGCGAGTGCGCCGTTGCACCAAGAAAGCTGAACAAATTGAGAGTAGTTGATTTAGCTTTGGATGCTTTACTTTATCTTTATTTTTATCGATCACCGCCCAACAGATCGTGATCAGCGCGTAGATGAAGGCGGGCAAGAGAAAAAGGGACACGTAGCGCTTTAGTGAGTAGAAACGATGTCTGAACGTTGAGAATGGGCTTGGATTGGATTTTAAAGGTTACAATGGTATATGTTCGGAAATTCTTCCGATAAACTCTATTTCTCTTTAAAATCTATCAATCAATGTTCCCTCTTAATCCTCCTTTATCCTCCAAAATCTTTCCGCGATTTCCCCAGACACAAGCTAGCCAAAACATAGACCTTTTCAAAAGATTTCCCACTCAACTTTTCGATATATAAACCCTCCGGTGCTTTAATAAATATTCTGCCTGAACCAAGGGATATGGGTGTCCATATCCCTTGGTACTGTTGTGTAACAGTATAGATCTTAGTCAGACTGTGCAATAGCACCTTCAACGAATCAACGTTTTTTCCTGAGTTTTTACTCATGGTCATTGGTTTGGCTTTTTGTTTTAACCAAAGACTTTTCCAAAAACAAAGTCTAAAATTAGTCTGCCAGATTGGTTGCGTTTGTGAGAAGAAAAAGTTAAAAGCTCTATTGAACAAATCTAATATTTAGATCCGTTTTAAAAGGGATTATAAAGTCTAATTGTAAGTAAAACCTCTACTATAGTTAATCTCGATCAATCAAATCAAATCTAAATCAAAAATACTCAGAAAGACAGCTGAATATTTAATTTTGACATACGGTAGTAAGGATTACACTTTAATAAGCAAAGAAAAAACTCACTGAAAAGGCCATAGAAGGGCAATGAGGAGATCGAGAGAGATCGAGACGGACAGCACCGTTTGAACAGATGAGACAAAGAGATGCGGGATTGACACGCGAAGGCAATCCTCGAGAATCCAACCATGTTGGGAAACTGAAACTTGAAACTGTTTATAAAGGGTTGAAAAAAGTTAGTTAAACTCTAGTTAAACTCTAGTTAAACTCACTAAAATTATTCAAGAACACGTAGCTGAGCTCGGAAATGAGACAAAGATTGTGGAAGACGCAGAACCATAGCATCAGAGAACCTGAGAAAATTTCATTTAATTGAAATGGCTTGATTTTTTGATTTCTTGAACTTAAAACTAATCATCCAAATTACAATTTGAATTTTTAAACCACATACCGTTACTTGCAAGGACACTATGATTAAGTAGATACCGTAAATACTGTAATAGTACCCCACCCCCCTCGTACAGTCGCGTAATCGCAAAAAGTTTTTTAGTATTTCAGTTTTTAGTATTTTTTCAAAGCGCCCGTACGTTCAAAGATGGGGTCTTTGGTATCAAAAAATAGCTGAAATTCAGGGCTATTTTTTGATACCTAAACGAGCATTTTAGCATAAACCAGTGTCGAGAAAAACTCATTCAAAGCTAGACTACGCAACACTTCGCACCGTCATTATGGGTGGTGGGGTACTATTACAGTATTTACGGTAGTTTAACCAACCATGTTTATTCCTCAACTCTTTGTTTCTCCATGTGGCCCAGATTAGATTTGAGTTGCCGAAAAGACCGAAAATATTGAAGGCGATGATGAGACTCGAGAGAATTAAGGAGTGAAAATTTGGATGGAAATCTTGAGAGAAATGGCCGAAACGAGTCGAGTTTAGGCGACTGCTCAGTCGCTCTAATAGCATTGAGCCTGAAAAGTTTGTGATTAAGAGCTGGAGATAAAGGGATAAGAAAAACGATGCTCAACTTGGAAACGGACTCCTAACACGTTACAATTATCGTTGTTAAGTTACTGTAATTTTAAACCCTCAGTCTTTTAGCAAAATGCTTTTGTTTTCGTAAAGCTTCAGAAAGGAATGTCGGACTTTAAAAAAAAACAAAAGTTTTTGCTTTTGCTAAAACGCACTTTTTCTCTGATTTAGTTATTTGAAATTTATGCTTTTTTTCTGTTTTTTGCTTTATTTGCTTTATTGCTATATTTTTGCTTATAATTCATGTTTTAATGAAAAAATAATAATCTAGACGATACAGGACAAAGTTTTGAAAGAATTCAAGTACAAATGTTTCGGTGAGCCGGATCAAAAAAAAGTGCTTTCATTGACAAAGGAAAACAGAATTTAAAGAATTATTGGGAAAGTGAGAGGGAGTGTAGTTATCCGATTCGAGAGCAAAAAAAAGATTTGAATGTGTATTTTCTCGGAACACAAATCCTCTCGAAATGGGGAGGAACTAAAATTTCTCCAGCCTTGTCCTTGAGAAAAAATTTTGAGAAATTCGGAAATTCTTTCAATTTTGTGTGAAAAATTTGCGAATTCTTGGAGTGTTTGACGTGAATTTTCCTCAAAATCAAACAAATTTCTCATGGCTTTTGATGGTACGAGAAGTTGCAGTATTTGTAGTATTTGAACATTTGATTTTGTATAGTGAGTAGAGGTTAAAATGGAACATTGAAAGGTTGTGGTACTACACGAAAATAGGGTATTGGAAAGGGTATGGGAAAGGTTAGGAATAGATTTTGAACCTATAAAGCTTGTTATTCAATTGAAATTCAAAGACAGAGAAAGCTTTTAAGATGAAGGCAATGGAATCGAAGCTTGATTTGCACTTATACCTAAATTCATCTCCAAAATTTGCTTTTTGTCTGAAAATTAAAAATTTCCATTTAACCCAGCATAAAACAAAGCTCAGCAGCGAAAAAAATCATTCTTCGTCTCACCCCGCTTGCTCACTCGATGTCGAGCTGGAGCTGGAGTCGAGCTGGAGCTGGACTCGAGCTGGAGTCGAGCTGGAGCAAAGCCAGAGCCGCCTTCATCAACGAATGCAAGAAGAATGACATCAAAGGACTTTGCGAGAAATTCAAGCTGTTATTCTTTTAATCTACTTATTATTGCTTTATCACAACACTGTTTTTCTTTTAAACTTTAGATAGTTCTGGTTTGAGTTAGTATTCTTTGGTAAGGATCATCAATAAATTGAGATTGGAATTTCCATCGGTGGTTTTACAACTACAGAAAATGTGAAGCTAAGTTTTTTTCTGTAAGATATCGGAGTTGTTAATGTTAAATTGATCTCGTAGCTTGATCAAATTCTTAATAATGTGAAAGGTGAAGCTTCTCAATGAAAATGTTCCCTAACCGTTTGTTTTAGGTCACTCATTATCGTTTTGACTGATGGCAGGATCACTGCGCTCCAGAAGATACGAAAGCGGCTTTGCGTTTGGTTTCTGAGGTGGCTGGGCAATTCGCGAAAAATCCTGGATCAGTAATTGCCCATTGCTCAGCAGGTTGGCTTTTATTCTGTTTTTGATTTTGTATGGTTCCTTATAAATCATTTTGTTTAGGTGTTGGATGAGCTGATGCATTCGTTGGTGTCTTCATGGCCTTAGAATCTCTTCGCAACGGAACCTCCACTCGTTTCAATCGTCAAGAAGCTTCGCGATCAACGTCTTCACGCGATTCAGAGTGACTTGGTTTTTGTGGTTTCTCTATCTTATTATTGTTGTTTTTAGCAATTCTTCGTCTTCGTCTTTCGCTGTACTCAAGGCTTTGGCCGGGAAGAAGGTAACAAACTCTCTAATGAATTTTTAAGCTTCTTTTTAGGCATTCAGCCCCAGCGAGGATTGATACAAGACGTTCGTCTTCGACTATAACAACTCCATCACCAAGAAGAAAAAGAAAATCGAGGAGATCCTGGGTAAACGGGTGAGATTTTGGTGGAGCTAATGTTTTTTAGCAAATCGAGAACAATG